TCCGTTGCAACCAGAATTTTGAACCCTGAATTCTGAGCTCAATCAGAAGCCATGGTTGGTGGTCATCGACTTGTGTTCTCAGAAACCACAAAGTTCGACTCCAGCTCTTCGGTTATGATTTTTCATGTTATTTTAGACTGTGGAACATACACTGTGTGCCCCTCCTTTTCTGTAGTGAACATGACCTGCCTCTTCTGTTGCCTAAATCACCTGAGACCCCTGGGCCTTTCTAACGTTCTAGTCTTTTGCTTCCTTTAAATCCCTGTGGCCCCCTCCAGGGTCCTGCCTTCGTCCCGTTTATTCTTTGTAGGGCTGTACAGATTGATGCGTTTATATGACCTTTCCTGATCAAGTGTTCCTCAATGGAGCGGAAAGGCTGTCTTTCCTTCCGGCTGTCAAATTGAATGTATATTCAACAACTTGTAAATTGTAAAGTGATATGTAATTGTAAATTACTGTTAATATCTAATAATTACATAATTTCCAACAGTTAACCTGTCTACTTTTTGGAGTAAAGAAACTTCTTAGTAGTTCAGTCAGCCTAACAGCACAGCATACTGTTAGACTGAATTTTATCCCATTTCCTCTGTCATCTCTGCACATACACAGGACACGTATGCACACTCACACATGCTGGGCACAATTACGTAAAAGAAGCCCTCCTACTTAACTTGTTTTTGTGACCAAGTCAGCAGCCTCTCCTTAGTAATTATTTTTTACAATCTTTAGGAAGTAATTTTCATATTTGGGGGTTCAGCAAACTCCACTTGAAATTGAGGTTGATACACTTAGTTAACTTAGCTTAATGTTTCGTGTTGTAAAATAAGGACTTTATAATTCAGTCTCTGATTTAGCAGCCCTGTTCTCCAGTTCATACCTTTTTCCCATGATAGTAGCTCTGAGTTGTATTTGTCACAGATACCAGAACTTTGGTCTTTCGGTTAAGTGCTTCCACTACACAGTAATAAATATACAGAGTACGAACAGGGTAAAAGAATAAAAAAGTAGGTAAAAATTGTCATTACCAAATCTAAAAAGAAGCATATACTGTTGCCAATGAGTGAATTACTGGCTTGGGGGTCATACCCAAAGGGAAGTCGTCTGTGACTTAGTGCTGGAGTTTAATAAGACTGGGAAAAAAGCTTGGATTACACTTCACATGGGGCAGTGTGGCAGGTGCCCTGTTAGGTGACAGCATTAGAAAGCTGCTTCCCAGAACTCTACTGGATGGTGAGTGAGCTGATAAGTCAGGAATGTTTGGCACATACCCCTTGCTTTTTGAAGTTGATGTCGTGAGGGCAAAAGTGATTTTGTATAGAATGTCTTTCACTACCACAGTTGTTCACTACTGAGCAACCAGTATGTTACTAAGTACTTAACATATCTCATTTAATCCTTACCATAACCCTGTGAGCAGGTATTATTCTGTTTTATACCCGAGGGTAAGAGGAGTTAAGTGATCCATCCAGGGTCAAAGCTAGGCTATGGACTCAGATCTGACTCTGAAGCCCACGCTTTTTCACTGTTTTGTGCCTTAGGACAGTTAGTCCAACACATATAGTGTTTTTTTAATATTTTTATGGCTCTGTACTATGATGGTAATTTAAAATGGCCACAATAAATTGGACAGACAGGCATGAGGTTATACAGTTTGGGAGCAGAAAGGGCATGCATTCAAGAAAAAGTAAAATTGTTAAGAGGATACATTCCTTTATAATAGGTATCTACACAGGAACAATATAGCTAAGGAGAGATTTTATTTGTGTGTTTATTAAGGACAAGGAAGAAAAGCATGCAGCTTTCAGATGGCTAAAATCTTAGCACAGCACTGGTATAGGCAACAAACAATGAGGTAAATTTTAAATGTTAATTTTAAAGATCAGATTAAGTTAAAAATAAATCTAGTTAGAAAACTGTCAAGGTTTCAATTTTAAAAATCAAAATGTTTTAATAAAAATTAATTTTAGATAGGAAAAATTTCAAATTTCGATAGGAAAAATGCATATTTTGAAAGCATAGATTTTTGACTTAAATCTAGGAAAAAGGCATTCAGGCCAGTGGTGAGAAAACCTGCTTTAATGCTTTCTGTGACCCTTAGTATAGATTGGAAAGAATGTTAACTGTGGGTTCCATTTACCATCTGTGACTAAGCAGATATTTAAACCGATTATAATGACGTTTTCATCTATAAAACAAAAAATAATGTCTGCTTCCTGGGTTGTGTCAAGGCTTAAATCAGGTTATGTGCGTAAGCACCTGGCTCGTGCTGGTTACTTACCAGCACATGTTCTTTCTGAAGGGGCAGCATGTAGTGTGAGCTATGGACCAGATTTCTTTTTTTTTTTTTTTTTTTTTTTTTTTTTTGCGGTACGCGGGCCTCTCGCTGTTGTGGCCTCTCCCGTTGAGGAGCACACGCTCCGGACGCGCAGGCTCAGCGGCCATGGCTCATGGGCCCAGCCGCTCCGCAGCATGTGGGATCTTCCCGGAGCGGGGCACGAACCTGCGTCCCCTGCATCGGCAGGCGGACTCTCAACCACTGCGCCACCAGGGAAGCCCTGGACCAGATTTCTTAATACAGACAAAGATTTCAGAAGAGTGTTCAAATTGTTTGTTCATAATGGAATTTTCTCAGATTGAATGTTGCTCAGGCTGTGCCTATTACGAAGAGATTTTCATTCCTTTGACACTAAATTTTCTCTCAGGTCCCTTTTAATTAAATGTCATGATTCTCAATCTGTTGGATCCTGGCTCTCCATGTATTGTTCTAATTACTGTTTCTCTGTTCTTCTTATTATTTTCACCTTTTGCTCCATTGTCAGTATGTTGGTCTTCTGTGCTCTTTCTGTACATATTTAGAGGAAGGGATGGATTTCATTCACAATCATTATTTTTTACTAGTAGATTATTTAAAAGCTGGTTTCTGAAATAAGACTGTTTGAGCCCCAGCTTCACCAGTTATCATGACCTTGGGCAATGTTCTTAACCTCTCTGAATCTTAGTTTTCCCATTTGTAAAATTGGTACGGTAATAATTCCTATCTCATGAAGGTATGGTGAGTATTAAGTGAGTAAAAGATTATAAAGCTTTTGGTGTGGTACTTTGCACCTACCAAATGCTTAGTGAATCTTAGCTTAATATTTTGATAATACAAGTGAGTTTAAGTCTGTATCTTGAATCCCTTTCTTTCTTCTAAACTGCAGTCTTGTATCTCTAACTGCCTGCTAGGCATTCTCTCTATACCTTCCTACATTACCTTAAACGTGTCTAAAATCAAACCAACAAGAAGATGATCTTTTTTTGTTGTGTGTAAGTGATTTAAGTGTAGATGTAGAGTAACCAAAATTAATTTCAATTTTCAAATACCTAGAAACACCTTAATAAATATCTGTCAAAAGTTGCGAATTATGTTATCAGAATTCTGAGCAGAGTAGTTGCTGTGTCATGCCATACTACCTTTTTTTTAAACTTGCAAAACTATTTCATTTGACATGGAGGACCTTAACTAAAATGGGTCCAAAAAGAGAATTGACTCTATGCCCAACAGGAATTCAGAAACACAGTAAATGCCTTTTTTATATCTATTCTGATCTCTCTGCTCTTAAGCTGTCATGTGGAATCCCATAGGACAACTATTGGTTTATCATACTTTTCAGGCTCAGAGCCCTTTTTAAAACATTGATAATCTGTTGACACTTGGGCACAAAATTGGCACTCAATGAGTAGCTCTTAAATAAATGAATGAAAAGAAGTGTAAGATACAAGGTACATGGTCCCTGCTATCAAAGAGTTTATAAATCAGGTAGGGATGATAATACCTGAAAACAATTTTTAAAAATCTGTAAACTTCATTATATAGAGACATGTCAGGATAAGAAGAACACATAATACAGTTTGTAGACATTCAGTAAGTGCAGAGAAAGGCTTTTGGAGATGAGGGGCTTGAGCTAGACCTTGTATGTGTGCTACTAGAAGCTTTATGGGCTGAATACGTGTAAAAACTGCCCCTTTGATACTGTAATAGTTCTGCCCCACCTCAGAAGCAGACTGCCTCTTGCTTTTGCTTTAAAAGAGATGAGACCAAAAAAAATTAAAAATAAAAATAAAAAATAAAAGAGATGAGATCCTAGCAGTCCATTATGCAAGCCAGAGAAAGACCATTTTGTGTGAAATTGCACTTTTATTGCATCTACCTCACTGTACCGTATTAGTGTAAGTTGTTTATATCTGTCTCTGCAGTTAGAGTGTAAGGTCCTTGAGGGGATGGACCTTATCTGCTTGGGCTCTTTATCTCCTACATACTTTGCATATAGGAGGCACTCCATAAATGTTTGTTGAATAAACAAGAGTATAAGCTCCTAAGGGGTAAGGATGTGTCATATTATTGTTTCCTCATGTGCCCTGAAATGAATTGTTTCTTGAGATTGGTCCTTGGAATATTTTTTCAGCCTTCACTGATTCTATTGCTACAGTTTAGCTCACCGCACAACAGGTGCTTGAGAATTCACCTTTCTCCAGTCCAGCAGAGTTATATTTTGATGACCTCCATTTTGACCAGGTCTAATACTTGTAGGCCGGGTCTAATACAAAGAGTAATCTGTAGGCAGCAGATGAGGAGTGATAATGATAATTTCTGTGAAGACAGGTACACACTCATGCCACATTCCCTGAGTATGTGTAAATGAATACTTATGCTCCCTAAAGTCATCAGCTTGCCCCTTAGCACACCTCTTTTTAGAGCACAAATATGAACCCCTTGTAGAAGGTCTTTGGCCTTCTCACTCTCCAGGCCTTCCTAATGTCTTCTAAGAATTTACTTTCTCTCTCCATTAGCCATTATTAAGAGAAAAAGTGGCTGGTGTAGTATCTGGGGATAAATTGCCACATCCCATTTCCTTCTCTGTGAGCAGGATTTCCAATTTCCAAGCCTGATGGGATCTCCCAGCTGGAACAAGATCTACAGGTCTTTGATCTGGAAACTAAGAATAGAGAAGTCTTAAGAGATGACTGCTCAGGTGAGTAAGGCAGAATCAATCAGATGAATTAGTAGGGAAGTAAAGTCTAGTTGTTGAGCCAAGCTGTAGTTGCTTTGGCAGTCAGTGAAGAGCTCTGTCTGTATCCCAGAATGGAGAGCTCTTTCCTTTTCCGTTCAGTTTTGATGAACTCTTACTTCGTCCCTTATCCGTAAGTTGTACTAGGTCCCTATTCAAGTTGCTTATCTATAATTCTGTTGAACTTTCCCTGTTA